GGGGAGAAATTTAACCTCAAATGATGGAAACGTACAATAAGTCCATGATTAAAATGAACATATAGAGATCCAAACCCAAGTAGAAATCCAATTGCCCCACCCCAGCAGGTCAGTCTGTGGGAGAGGGAAGAGGCAGGGGCTAGATCAAGGCCCCCACATTGAGGGACAGTGCCACAGAGGCAGGACCAGGGGTAAGTTGAGTGGGGCCCCAGCCAGGTGGGACTTTCCTGCTGGGGAGGCATACCCCCATATAATTTTTTCTCCCTCTGCCTCTATCTCCCCCCCCCTCCCCGCTTTCCCTCCCCACAGACTTACCTGCTGGGCGGGGGAGGAGGGATTTGTGGCAGTGGCATATGGTAGATCTTGGGTTGCTTTTAAATGCCAAAGGTGATCCCCTACTTAAAAAGGCTGGATACCACTGTTGTACACTCAAAGGCAATACCTGTGTGTAAGGCAATTTGTGATGAGAACACACACGGTGCATAGGTCATTGGGAGGGGCAGAGGACTCCAGCACCTGTGGAGATGTGAGCTCCCACAGGTACAAACGGGGAGCAGAACTTTTCTTCCCCTGAGCAGAGAGGATGAGGATTGCCCATCTCTCACTACTGGCACTATGGTTCCTCTGCCATGAATAGGACAAGACACAGTTTGTTCCTTAATATTTTTAAATATATTTATGAATTAAAAAAACACTTAACTGAAAAATCTATATGAATTTTTTTAAATCAAGCTGCTGACATCTCTTTCAACAGCCATGAAATGCAGGTTAGATTACTTTCTATTGTGACTTGGACCTTTTATTTAATAAGATAAGAAATTATTATTATAAATTAAAAGTAGGAATTAAGAGTCTAGACAAGCATAAATAAAAAATGATAGATGAACCCAACTACTTCAGTTTTTATAACAGATAGAGAGAGGGGATACATATACAGGGGAAGGGAAAACTTAAAAATGATTACTTTAAATTATAAATCATAACCTAAACCTATAGCTGAAGCCAAGTAATAATTCCTCTCCCTTTTATGAAAGACAGTTACATTTTGGTTATTGAAGCCTGATTCTCCAATGTTGTGCCTGCTGTAGTCTTTAGGACAAAGTAAAAGGCTACTTAGCTGGCACATTTGATATCCATTTTGTACCAGCAGAAATACCTGAGTGTTATTCAGAGCAGTGAAAACCGATATCCAGGAGAGTTATTTCTTCCCTGAGGCAACAGGAATAAAAGTGTCATTGGGACAGTATGCCCAACTCATATGTAAGCCTTTTCAGAAGACCTCACATAAGCAAGACTCCCACCAGCATCAATGAGATTAACAGGAAGAAAACAGCAGAAGATTGAGTTTAAAGTACAGGACTGGACAATCAGCTAGCTGAACTATTGGCAGGACTCTGCTGCAGTCTGGCAGTTCCTCCTGGGTTGGAAAAAGGGCTGCTGCTCTGCAGAGAGACTTAAGGTTTTAACAGAAACATGGGAATCCCTATATATCAATGGGAATACAGAACCATGTGGAAAAAACCTGAAAGAAAAGACATTTTTCTGGAACTACACACTAGCTAATCCACTGCATCTCAGCCATAACAGTTTGTCCTTTGTAGGACTCCTTAACATTCAGTATATAGTACTGATATGATACACAAACAAAGGGTCCATCATGTCAAAATCTAGTTGGTGACTCCTTGATCCTGACTTTTAGAAGCATAAACTCAATGACCTGCAATGGTACTTTCCTTGCCAAAAATAAAGGGTCAAAATGTATGTGAGCTTTGTACATTTATATGAGAACAGAAGAGAAAAAAAAACAGAGGCCAGATCTTCAGCTGGTGTACATTGCCTTTGATTCTGAAGCAAGGTCTGATTCATTCCTACAGTAGCAGACTACAGCAAGGCACAACATTATGGAAAAATTATAAATAGCTGACATTTCAGCCACACCAGCTGTCTTCAGAATGCCAACAACTACAATACTTAGCACTTTTTTACTTTTTTCCCTTTCTTATTTTAAATTGCAACTAAGGTTAACGGACTATTTTTAAAGGAAAAGCACCCTCATTTTTGCTTAACTAACACATTTATAAGAGCTTCAGAAGTGGAATTATGGGAACTGGACATTTGTGAATACTTGAGAGCCAGTGGCAAATCACTCTTGGAATATGTATCCCTGTAATATATGCACCCAGAGGATCTCACTTAGCTAAGTGAGCCAGAAGCATATGCATCCCACAGGAATGAGAGGTGGTTGCATAGATGCCTGTGGGCACCTGTTACACAGATCAGTACCATTCTGCATATCAGCTTTGAAATGAATCACTTGTGTGATTTGGAACATACAAGTTAGAAAAAGGGGCAGAGGGAAGATGGAAAAAATGGTCGTTCGGAGAAAAACCACCTCTGTACTAGAAAAGGCTGTATGGGACCTCTAGCATGCCTCATAAGCCATTTCAGACAAAATAAGCGCAGTAACATTTTATTGTGCAATAAGCGCAGTAACATTTTATTGTGCATATGCAGGCCAGGCCAACACACTTTAACTGTAACAGCCCTCATCTCATTTAAGCAGCAGAGCATGCTGACACAAGTTTGAATTGCAAGGAACTGTCTCCAAAGAGACAAGTTTCCTAGCCAAAGAGCAAGCAAAAGAGTTTTTCTATGTTTGTCCCATGTTGCAACTTAAGGCGATTACATCTTGCTGTATCCGCAGTGGTCATTAAGGACAATATATTACCTTACTCTTTACAGGAATCTCCTTACATATTTGAAGACTGTCATGTCTCACCTCAGACTTCTAGGCTAAACAAGCTTATTTCCTTCAATCTTTCCTTATAGGTCACGTTTCCTAGACTTCTGATCATTTTTGTTGCTCTCCTCCAGACTCTCTCCAGTTGGTCCATATCTTTCTTTAAGTACAGTGCCCAAAACAAGACACAGCATCACAGCCAGGGCTTACCAGTGCTTGCTAGAGTAGAGGGCTTTGTTCCCATATCTTACATTGATACTCACATTCATATATACAAGTGTGGTGTTTGGTTTGTTCATGGCAACATGACACAATACTGATATGTGTTCCTTTTGTGATCAGTTGTAATCCCTAGGAGCAGAATTCTGTTTCTAGTTGACAACCAATGTGCAGCTTGCAGCTATGAGTTACCTGCCCTCTGGATTGTAAGTGCCTTCTCATTATAGGGACAGGGAGACATCTGCACATCTCCGAAGCATTTATGAGGGCACTTACACATCCAGCATAAGCAATGGAACCACTACGACACACAAGTCAAGTAACTCAGAGTTGGTTGCAAGCTGCACTTTGGTCATTCACTAGGTGAAACAATATCCTGTCCCAAGACCCTCTTCTGCTGAACTGCTGCACAAGCAGTTTGTAAAGCTGGTTCTCTTAAAGCTACTGTCTTTCCCCTAGCCACAAGTCTTGCTATTCCAGGAGTATGGGAGAGGGGCCTGGGCAATATCTGTACCTTGACATGGCTGTTAAGAGACCTCTACTTTTAAGTCAAAAGACTTTGGTTCAAACCTTCATCAAGATTGGGAGCTAAACGCTGGGGCTAGATTGGGGGATAGCACAACAAGTGCTCTCTCACAAGTGCTACCACTCACTTTTTAGGGAAAAAAAATGGAAGGGTCTCCCCCACTTCCTTTTCCCACATTTACACTCAAACATGCACATGTCTAACCAATGCAAAGCCCACTAAGCATGCAGCCATAGTACAGAGGAGGCAGGGCCTAAACCACTCACGTACATACCCAGGTGCCATTTAGGCACACAAAGGGAACTATAATTCAGCCATAAATGCTCTGGGATTGTTTTGGCCAGGTCTCTGCACACTTATTAAAGCCAATTTTAACACACAATAACACTCTATGCATAAATGAAGAGTGTAAAGTTATGGAAGAAGAACTATTCTTTAGAGTGGCACACAGGTAAGGGATTGATGTAGAAGTAATGGATGAATTTAAGAACAGGAAAAATTAAATTTCAGACTCTGAAACCATCTTCTGAAGGAAGTATAGAAGGCCCATTGTTTAGTGAAACAAAGAGTGCAACAGGAAAGAAACTAGTATTGACAGGAAGATAGTAGCACTGGCCTAATAGATTTTTTTCCATCTGTTATTTCCATGATTAACCACAGCCAGCAAAGTGCCATGCTTAGAGGTAGAAAAGCATGTTCCTCAAAAACTGATAAATGCCAGTTGTAGACACAAGCACCTGCTGGTACTATGCCCAGACAAATACTGCCTCTCCATTTGTTGAGAGCTGAGCACTAGGTCAGGTTCCTGGTTCCTCATTAATTCATTGGATACTGAGTAGTGGAACCTGATTTAGAACAGCCAAGTTCCAAATATACAGAAGTGAAGCAGCACATGTCAGTAAATCAGTCAATACAATTTTCATTTAATTGATCATTTTTACACATTCTGAAACCATCTGCTGTATCTCTAGATCAGGGTTCAGTAATATATGGCCCACAGGCTGAATCTGGCCCACATAGCAACAGGATTTGGCTTCAAGACCTGGCATGTTTTGCCTGTGCCAGCACCCATGCTGGGGCTGGGGAGCAAGGAGATGTGCCATAGCTGGGCAGCTGGAAGCCCGTGCCACAACTGGGAGATAGGAGGGGAACTGGAATAGAGAAGGGCAGCAGCACAGACACTATTTCCAGCTGCCCAGCCCCAGTGAAGCTCCCTACCAGCTGGAAGCTAAACCCATGCTACATATGTGGCTTCAGGGAGTAGGGAGAAGGTGACAGCAAGAGCAAAGCCCCAACCCCACTGCTATGCTGCCAAAACCTCCTGGCCCAAGTCAGACAAGAACTAGGTTGTTCTGACCCTTGGCTTGTGATCTAGATGGATGGACTCGCAAAGAAAACCTCTAAATCAATCAATGACATTTCATCCGAATGATAAATCAATAACATTTCAAAAATTATTTTTGCCACCAAAAAATGAATTATGCAATTTAATGAACTTTCTACCTCTTTGCTCACCTCCATCCTGAAATTTGCTTAGTCTTTCGAAGTATGATGACATAGGAACCTGAACAATATCTAGAATAGCTAGTAGGGTCCTAGTAAGTCTGAGTAGCTCACTGAAACTATAAAAGCCAAAATATATGAGGTTTCGAGCCAGATGTACCACCTAAGGAGAAAGAAAACAAATAATGAAGGAAACATCGACAATATAAGTGATCATTATATTTTGTACCATAACATCTTCCGTGGAACCTCCAGTTCAAAGAGTGGTCAATTCAATGCAAGTCTTGCTTTCCATTCACTTTAGTGGTTTGGACCCGAGTCAGTTTCATCAAATGCTATTCAGAGTAAAATAATATAATGTCTTACATAAACTAAAACAGAAAGGGGAGAAAACACCAGGAGATTTATCCAGAGTTGGAAAGAAAGAGTTTCATTTGAGGAAAGAAATACGATTGAAGATCCACGAAGCAGAAAGATTGAAGAAGGGTTTTTCAAAGAGTAGGCACTCTTAGAGATGATGGATCTTGAAGCAACAATGATGACATCATAGTAAGTATGGAGAAAGGCAATGCTGGATGAGCAGAAGCAGTAGAGAGGGACAAAGCTTGAGTTCAGTTGGAGCTGGACCTTTAAAAGCTGAATCTGTTCACTTCTATTTGATCCTAAAACCTTTGAGAGGTGTTTTTTGAATACTAAGAAAATACCAGATTAGACATGTATAATATACCCTTTATAAGTTTATTTTACATGGATTATAGCAGCTTGCACTCCAAAGGGATCTCAGCTCACCTTAAATCAGAGAGAATGAGAGAGAATACATCCACACACACGTACAAATCACCTCCCCTGTCCCAGAAAGGCAGGCACTTCTGGTAGGAGAAACACTGCAACTATTTAACAGCACACTGCAACAGTACATTATATTAGAACAAAGAGTGAGAACAAGAACAGTGAAACTAAAGAGGTTGGCATAAGGATGCATTTGATACCCAAATAAAAATATTTGATACCCCAAACTCATACTTAAATAAGAAATATTTATATTAGAAGACACAGAGTTAATAACTAGTGCTTTGGTGTACTAAATTAGGACAAGAATAACTGTAGGTACCTCAAATGTAAGTTTGTTTTTCTCTTTGTCCCCAAAAGGAAATGGCTGATTTACAACTTCTTTCAAGTACTCTTCTACAAATTCCATAGTCAGAGCAAATTTCCTTTTCATTTCATTTCTTGAGGAATCTGTGAAAGAATCATACCTATAAGGCAAAATATTGAGAACAGCAAAGTTACTCTTCCATTTATATGGTAAATTGCCACTTAAACAAACAAACTGAGCAATCACTCTGATGTTTTAAAACTATTTCAAGTTCTTTGTACAGAAGTATTCCCATCTGCCCACCCCTGTAACCTGTCCAGATCCAATTGCAGCCTGACCCTCCCTTCTAGCATGCCCACTTCTCCCCACATCTTAGTGTCATCTGCGAATTGAAACAAGGTGCTTTTCACCCCCTCATCCAAGTCGCTGATGAAGATGTTGAACAGTGCAGGCCCAAGGCCCAAGCCCTGGGGAACCCCACTGCCCACATCCCTTCAAGTAAAAAATGACCCATCCATCACCACTCTCTGGGTGCGGCCCTCCAGCCAACTGGCAACCTATCTGACTGTGTAGGCATCGACACCACAATCTCCTAATTTTTTAACAAGAATGGGGTGAGAGAGAGTGCCGAAGGCCTTCCTAAAGTCCAGAAAGACTACATCCACCGCGACACCTGCATCCAAGGATTTTGCGACCTGGTCATAGAAGGCCACCAGGTTGGTCTGACAGGACCTGCCTCTAATGAACCCATGTTGGTTGCCACTAAGCATATACTCCCCTGCTTGCCCCTCGCAGATGTGCACCTGGATAATTTTCCCAAAGAGCTTCCCAAGGACCAAGGTAAGACTAACAGGCCTATAATTTCCTGGGTCCTCCTTCCTCCCTTTTTTGAAAATGGGGACCACACTGGCCCTTTTCCAGTCCTCTGGCACATCGCCAGAGCACCACGAGCACTCATACAGCTGTGCCAGGGGTCCCGCAATGACCTCTGCTAATTCCCTCAGCACTCTAGGATGGAGGTCATCAGGACCTGCTAACTTGAACATGTCCAGTCCCACCAGAAGTTCCCTGACTAGGTCCTCTCTGACCCTGGGCCTGGCTGTGCCTCCCCTGGGACCATCAGGGATCCCTGTGGGGGGGATGACCTGGTCCCTGCTCAGAAAAATGGAGGCAAAGAAATTGTTAAATAGGTTAGATGTGTCCACAATTAAGTAGTGGACAGTTCCCACAAAATCAAAGGGACTCCACCCATACTTAAAACTAGCACATGTTAAGTACTTTGCTGAACTGAAGCTAATGCCTCAGTGAATGGCTTTTGGTGCAATGTGTTCCCACAGCACCTGACATTCAGTTAGATGACTTTAAAATCACAACCAAGGTCTGAGTGTAAAACCAGGATTCAGCTTAGCAAGGGTACAATATTAATCACAATGTAATGGTTTCTAGCTTAGCAGTTGTGAGTAAAGGCCATTCTGTTTTTCCCAGTTTCCCCTATAATGATACACTTAAAATAAAAATGTTCTTATTAAAAATGAAATGCTTTTAAGTCTGCAGGATTAACAGAACCTAGTGGTTTGTCTTCAACAACAAACCATATTCTCACATGCGCACTGTAACAAGTGGGCGTACCAGGGTCAGTCTAAACATAGGCCCACCCACTTGTCTCTAGGCACTATGCCTGCCTACCTTGCGTGCCATGCCTTGATGATAATGTTTGATAGATCTTAACAAGGCAGGAGGCTGCCCATTTACTTGCCCCAATGCCAAGGGCATTACACACAGCTCCGACCTTCCCTTACCGTGTCCCATGCCTCACAGATGGCATCCATGGTCTCATACCTGGCCTTGGTCTGTGTGGCCTAGCATCTGGCCTGCTTCTCTGGCCTAAACCCCAGCCACTCAATCACTTCGGCTCCCAGTCCTTTACTGCTCCTCAGGCTCCCAGCCCAGTTCCATTCAGGGCTCCCAGGCCCCTATCAATTCAGAGCTCCAAGCCCTGCCAGTAACTCTGGGCTCCAAGCCCCACACTGGGCTTCTCAGTATCCTTAAACTTATCCCCTGCCCTATACTGGACCTCAACAATCCCTAATCCATTCACCCCAGGAGCTTTTTGTATAGCTCCCCAAAGGCTCAGGGCCCCACCCCCCTGGAGCCTCACTCCCAGTTCCTAGGTGCAGCCTCAGAGCTTGTGGCAAGTTTGGGCATTGCCCCAGGTCCCTTCCTGACATGGGGTCCTGCCTCAGAGCTCACCATGAGTCTAAGCTCCTGCTTTGTTTGGGGTGTGCTTCCCTAGCCTTTCCCCTCCACAGGGTCACCCGCAAGGCAGTGGAGGCTGAGGCTTTCTGGGACCCCATACTCGCCTTCATTTGGGAGGCACCAGGTGTGACATTTCCTGGATACTGCCCTGCCACAAGCAGCCCCATCACACCATCCAACCCCAGCAGGGTGTAGTTTTAGGTCATGCCCCAGGACCAGGAGCCTCCAGCCATCCCCATAGCTCCTACCCTTACTTCCAAGGTGTCACAAGCAGCAGCCCTAGCTGGGTTGTTGTTCTCCCAGTTGCTAGCAGCAGGCCCTGTTCCCAATCAGGCAGTTGTGCCCAATTGGGATTGCAGCCAGCTGAAGGCTGCCTTGCTGCTGTTCAGGACCCTGCAAATAACAGAGCATTCCTATGCTCTGTTACATGCACCACATTCAAATAAACAGCCTCTAACAGTTTTATTCTACACAAATTTGATCCATTTAAAATATGGTAGTGACTTACTCATGGATCGTGATCTTGGTAGGAATTTCTGTCCATAATCTGGCATATTTGACAGGAACTACAGTTTCCTGTGGATCTCTGTCTACATGCATGTGTAGCATAAGACGGCAAAAAGAAGCCCGTAGGTCATATGGAAGGCTTTCATCAGACACGCATCGCAGAATCAAATCTACTGACAACTGAGTAGAAATCTGGTTTATGGCTAGGTATTGGCGGTCAAGGCACATTCTTGCGAATAGATTTAACTGGTACCTGAAATTAAAAAAATAAAGGTGTAAGTTCAACAGTACATTTGATTTCTCTGGTACCTTGCTCTGTGGCATTCAAAGAACCTAATCTTGTGAGCCTGATCTCTGCCCACCCAGTGTAACATACTAGAAATCACAAAGTGGATTCGCTAATGAAGAGGCTACCTTGCCATTACAAACACTAGTATTAGGCTCCTACCCCCAACAATTTCTATACTGAACTCCCACTGGAGTTCAAAGGAACTCAACACAGAATGATGGCAGGATGAAGTCTTTGAACTATTTGCCTTCAATCCATTAAAGGTTTTGTTTCATGACCATGGCTTTGAGTGTCTGGTAGCTGCAAGTCTTGATAGTGCTCAGTTCTAATTGCTTCTGGGCATCTGCTCCCAGTACACCTTGTCTACAAGAATACAAAGTGGCTGTCACTGCACTAGCTATTGTGTAAACTAAAAAACATAACCTGCATGGAAAAGAGAGGAGATGAAACCACAGTATTTCTACACATGGAGATCTGTCAAAAGGGTGGAAGCTTCAGTGCTTATTTGGAAAACACGGTATAGATTGTGATCCTTCATACAAAATGTATTTGAAACATAAACTTAGCCCCCATTTCTGACCAAACCAAAGGCCCCACACCTTACTCCCGTTTAAAAGAGTGGCAGATGGCTTTAATAAGAATCACATCAGATTCTCCATCTAGTATAGTATCATCTTCCTTCTAAAAATGGAATACCTGTAATAAGTAAGAACTTCCAAATCAGCTTTTGTGCCTTCCTTAGCCTCCTGAGCCAGATGTCTGATAGCTTTGCCATGAGGTTCTTTGTTGCTATCAATCCAATACAACCAAACTTCTTCCTCGTCAATATCATCCGGGATGACTGAACATTCCAAGGGATTGTCTATCTGCGTTGAAACCAGCCTTCAAATAAATAATGCATACTGTAGCTGCCAATACATGTAGCAATAGAGGCAATGCAGTAATAAAAAGTGTCTTGTGGTAGATGCTTACTTGGTTTGAATGAGAATGTCAGCATTTCCTGGACTCAGCATAAACTTGCAGATAAGCTCCTGAGTTACCGGTATTGCGGTGGTGTTGGAAACACATAGGTCTGATAGATAATCCAAGAACCTAGATAGGGGGAAATGGCAAATACAACAAAATGCAGGACAAATCATTACACAGATCACAACAGAAATAAATTTCTCCATGTGAAGCTTTCCCTAAAAATATGAATCTCTCCACCACTGCTAGGACCTGGGTCCATTTGTATGAAGCCACTAGCTGCCTCAAACTTTCTACCCAGTATAGAAAAACAAAATCAACACTGTGTTAGCATGGGTCACACTTCCTCTCCAAAAAGCTCGGTGAATTGTAGAATGTAAATTCACAAATATAAGAAAACGTCTTATATTCAGAAGCCAGTTCATTCACCACTTAAACGGCAAGTTGTATGGTAGCAAGTAAGTCAGTTCTCTGGTAGCAAGTAATTAACGATGCTCAGGAATGGCATACAACATTTTTACTAAAGAAACTGCCAAAAATGATTGAAAATGCTGCAGAAATTGAAGTAGGCAAAAAAGAATTATTTGGGCTTTGGGAGAAGTTGCCTAGCAAGAGCTGATGTTGAAGTAGATTTCCTTTTTCATAATTCATTTGTGTTTTAGAGTCTACTATTGCAATTCTTACTCATGGAAGTCAGAAGTGCCACAGAAGCCTATGAGTAAATCCTATATGCCCAAGCACTTAACTAGGTGATTCCAAAGTGTATTCTTTGATTGCAAAGTGTATCCTTCCAGTGTGAATTATGCTGGCACCTCTGGCTTAAAGATGGGTGCCATTTTTGCATAAAACCAATACATTTACTCATTCATGCAACAAGATAAAGATCTCTGCTCTTACAAAAAAGTTCCATGATATGATTAATAAAAAAAATATAAACAAGCCCCTTAATACTTCCCCCACCCCTCTCCCTTTCAATTCCAGGATGGGAATCTGGTGAGTATCAATGTGGTCTCCTTCCCCAAAACTGGCCAACCCCAACACAGCTTGGTTTGGGAGATATGATAAGATCACAGCTTGAGGTGACATGACTGCACACTTGAGCAGTATAACAAAATCAGTAGAGAGAGAGCCTCCAGGAATATTATAAATCCCTTCCATAAAAATGATATCCACAATTACCAAAGGCATAAATTGGCTCTCACCATATTAAATTTCTTATATTTACCAAATAAATTGAGATTTTTTTCCATTAAGCACTCCATTCATCCTTTTTATCTTCCGACTAGAATTACTCAGAAATTTTCCAGCAACATTTCATTTGAAAATACTTGTCAGTTGAGCCCTATTTTGTTGGACACATCCTCAGGTTGACAGGCTTCTGCCAAATCCCAAACAGTGTACCAAACTTGAGTAGATTCTTGGCCCAGGACTGGGTACCTTGGAAGTTCAGCATCCCTGGGGTAGTCTGATGGTAAGCTGAAGACCTTGGAAGTACTGTACCCCAAGGGACCCTGGCATCTCCTGCAACTGCTTAGTAAACTTATGGCATTCTTGCCAATGTCACTGCTGCCCCAAGTAGTAAAACTAAGATGAATAACAGTTTCACTGAGCAGCTGTAAAGTCCAGAGAACTTCCAGCTTGTAGGAAATTTAAAAACCTTTTTTTATTTCAGTCAGATTCTAAAAAAAGCAGTTTTTAAATAAATGAAATTTTCCTATGAACTGGAAACACTGTTTTCCAACCAGTCACATTTTGGCAAGTGGAAATAGTCAAATTCTAGACTTGCAGGTATCTCTGCTCTCTCTTCAGCATGACTTTATAAGCAAAACATCTTTTTGTCTGCCAGGTCCAAGCAAATAATTAACCAGGAGCAAAAGACAACAAGATAAACAAAAGGCAGATAACATCTCCCACAGAAATAAAAGGCTACCAATACACAAGAAGAAAGTTCTGCAGACTACTTCAAACCTTGGCTCTCGATTCCTCCTGAGTAAACTAACAAATGTCTCTATTTCCTTTGCCGTGATGTGTTTCTCTAGTAGCTTTCTGTTGTTGTGTAACAAAGCTGTGATGGTGTCTTCTGCCAGAATATCATAGCCAATCTGGGACTGCATGACACAGAAGTTCTTAGCAATATATTCCTGAAAAACAAAAAGCCCCAGGGTGATCTGTTAAACAGTGTGAAAGAAACAATGCTTCCATTGGATATCTTTGTTAATTAACAATCAAACTAACTCTCAAAACTATTACCTTTCTCTTTTATCCATCCACACCTACAGAGGCAGCAATTTATTTCCTTCTATGGCTTGTAAAAGCATCCACTGTAGTGGTCTTAACTCTCTACTGCTTGCAAACAGCCTCCTATGGTAGCAGGTTGGGCAGGTTGATGCCACAAGCCCTGTTTCAAAAACCACTATCACACCCTGCTCCACAGAATTTGCCAGCAAGAGGAATTCAAATGTTAACAGAACCTTCCTTCTCTCTAATATGGAGTACAAGGGCCCCATTTTAACAATGTAGCAGACGGCCAGGAAGCAGGGGTCCCAGTCTCACATGCAGCTAATGGAGTGATAAGCAGGTAGCGTCCCAGAAAAGTTAAACCTGTAACACTCAAAACTGATTGCTGATCTCTTGTTAAAGTTCCTCAGCCGCAACCTCACTTTTGCTTAGTATAAGAATTTCTTGTTTTGTAACATGATTTGTTATACATACAGAGCCAAACCCGCCCTCTCTCATTAGAGCACCTAAGATTCCAAACATGCTCTGTGTGCAGGATCAGACCCAGAGTACACAATTATGCAATAATCTGAGTAGAAAAAAAATGAGCCCACTGACCTGATTTTTTCTATAGTCCTGCTGGGAATGTCTGAGTACCCTGTAACATAGCCTTAACACGTATTTGTATGGAGCATATCTCTGATCACCAAGATCTTCAAGTCTCAGCATTGATTCTTCTCCTCCTTTGTCCTTAAAAGGAGCTTTGAGAATCCCAAATATCTGTTCAGAACCAAGGAGGGTGAGAACAAAGACAAACTGCTGCATGTCTTTAATTAGCCATGCTGGAGGCTATTTACACAGAAAGTCACAGGTGTAATTTAAATCCAATAGGAAAGAGGGTGCGACTCTTGTTAACAACCTGACTGATATCACCCAAGCAAACAATGATCACTGACATCATCATAAATAGTTGCCTTCACTGGGACAAATTAAGAGACAAAAAGGAAGACATATTTGGCTCTTATTCCTCATCTTTATTCTTTTTACCATGTTTATTCAAGCACCTTTACAAAAAATATAATGTCTGGTTGATATAAATTGTGACATGCACTCAAGTCAGGGCCTAAATTGCAAATCTGTTTCAACTTCATCACTTTTGGTCAAGAATTTGCTCTCAGACAGAGCCGTGGGATTCAGTGGAGTTGTATGGATATCACTGAAAACAGAATTTGCCATTTATACGTAACATTTTAATTGCCCCTCCTTTATTCAGAGAACAAATAGATGAGCCCAGTAATTTCAACCCCATAAGCATGATGTAGCCTACTTAATTACACAAGCAGCTCACACATATGTATAAATCTAAAAATACTGCTAATACCCCTAACACACCTGGGCTAAGATATTTTGTTCCCTCATTAACTTCTGCCTTTCTCGGTTTGGCTTGGTGACAACCACATCCAAAACTTCCTGCCCATTATTAGGTATATCAGCAACAAAGAAAATGAGATCTTCCAGCAGCTTGGTTACAAACCTAGAAAGAGAAACAAAATCATAACTCTACCCTTCCATTCTTTGCTGGATTCATTAAAAGAGCAAATCACATTTTAAAATAGGCTTTATTTTGCACAACAGAACTTCAGTCATTGTAAAGCCAAGTTTGAGGATTCAAGGCCTTGGGTTTACCAAGGCATTAAACAGCAACAGCAGCAAACAGGGCAGCAAGCTGAGTTGATGAACAGTATTCAGAAATATAAATCATACACAGAACAAATACACCAGCTGGCTTCAAGGTCCAGTGACAGCAGTAAGATGCTCTCACACTCAGTCTACCTAGGGTTCTCCAGGCAAAAGCTAAACACAAGTCCAATTTAAATTTGATGCACTCAGTGGAGAGAGATGGGAGCATCCTGCTCCAATACCAGCCCCTGACAGCATTGATCAAAAGAAGCATTGAAAATGGATTTGAAAAAGGCAGTCTGTCTTGCTGTCCTTACTAGGCTGAATGAGCTTTAGTGAGAACCAAAATGTGCTATGATAAAGAATGTCTCTGCTGCTACCAAAGGATGGTTCTCATTCCCGGGAGGAGAAGCAAACAAATAATATCATGACATTGTACCTGCAACTCTGAAATCAAAATGGCTACTGTAATCACTTTGAGGAACATCTTTGAGAAGAATCAGGAGTTTTCCTGCGGCACCTCTACAAAGCCACAAGCTCTTACCCTAGAACTAATAAATGAACCAGGGAAAACAAAGGGGTGGGGGAAAGCTGTCAGCACACAAAAGGCCAGATTTTGTTCAGTTGCCACATCTACATGAGCAGCGGACTGCGCAGTTTTTACTGAGCAGTCATTTAGTCATTTACTTACACAAGTACTAAATGACTGCACAGTAACCGGCGTTATTGTACAGTAACATCCCCACATGATTTTTCCTGACGCCACAGCACAGTAGCAACGAGCTCGTTACCACTCTGCAATAGTGTCGCATCACAGTTAGCATCCAGCAATGCTACTGCCCGGTAGCAACCAGCTACTGCGCAGTAACACCTCATGTAGATGTACCCAGTAAAGCCTATTTAACCTCACTGACCTCAAGAGGGGTCATGAATTTGGCCAGGATCCAGTCTGGGCTAAAACTAGTCTGCTACTAGAGTCATATTTGGATCTTTGGTGGAGTTTCAAAGCCAACTAAGGAATTCTGGCACACAACTGTCATTAATAAAAACAGCAACAGTGTGGCTAACCTACTGATCAACACAAAATCACAGCCCATGTGTAGCTCTTATGGAGTAGAGCAAGACTCACAACATAAGGGTGCTTCCCAAGCAGAAAAAGGTGATGGTGTGGGACTGAGCAACAAGACAAACCTTGTGGGAAACCTATGCATCTAAGCCAGAACATGGTGGAGTAAGTGGAAATGAAAAAAACTATTAAGCTGAATATGAGCCAACAGTGTGTTCTTGTTGCAGAAAAAGGTCAACAGCATACTGGGCTGTATTAATATAAGTGACACTTGCAAGTCAAGGGAAGCAAGTCCTCCATTCTATTCAGCACCGAGGAAGCCTCACTCGGAATACTGTGTCCAGTTTTGGACCCCACGCTTCAACAAATTAGAAAGAGTCCAGTAGAGAGCATGAAAAAATCATTAGGGGGTTGGAAAACATGACTTACAAGGAAAAACAGAAAAAATGGTTTTATTTAGTCTGGAGAAGAAAAGACTGAATGGAGATGGAGAAGGGGGTTCATAACAGTCTTCAAGTACTTGTAGGGAGGTTATAAAGAAGATGGAGATAGACTATTCTTTGTGGCCACAGGGAACAACATGATGAGCAATGGTCTTAAAATACACCAAGGAAAATTTGGGTTAGATATTAGGAAGAACTTTCTTACTAGAAGAGTGGTTAAGCATTGGAACTGGTTACCCAAGGAGGCTGTGAAATCTCCATCCTTAGAAGTTTAAGAGTAGGTTAGACAAACACTTTGATAGCATGGTTTAGTTGGATATAATTCTGCCCTCCATCAGGGGGCTGGAATAGATGACCTTCTGAGGTCCCTTTCAGCCCTACTTATCTGTGATAATATGATTCTATTGATTTAAAAAAAAACAGGGATACACAAGTAATCCCTGAATTACTTGAAACTGCTTTGAAATATTTTCAACATTGTATCATACCAATAGCCTCATTGCTTGATGATACTGAATCACGACAACACAGCAAAGCTAATAGGACACTTCATTTGGACCATTATGGCAGTGCACATTAGGATAAATCTTCAATCTAACATCAAACAATCTGTTCCGATTATTACTGACAAAAAAAGCTCTGGATTTGATAATCTACAGACATTCAATTTTATTGCCAAAAAAAATTTAACATTTTCAGGAAAAAGTTGTGGATGATCCATAGTAGAATGAAAGTTACAAATTAATAATAGTACCAGAGATGCTGTCTAATATTCAGTTTTACCACAGACAGCTGAAAATAAATAGTAAACTACATCACCAGCAGTGTGATATATATTGGCTACAACATACAACAAAATCCCTTAATTCATGGGCAGATGTGAAGGGCAGACACTCTAGAACAGCTGCAGTTGAAGCGTGGAGGAGTGGGAAGGGCAGATACTTTAACTACAGTAGTAGTATGAAGAAGTGAACAGGGAATTAGGGAAGATAAAAGGAGGGCTGAGAAAAAGAGAGAAGATGATGTTGGGCCAGCTTCCCAGTTATGCTAAGGCCCCTTTGTATCACTTTGGAAAGGTGAAGGGACCTGAATTACCACCACTCTAAGGTACCTTTACACTGGCTGTGGCTTAAATGGGCTTACTGCAAATAAGAATCAGGCCCAGGGGATTCAATTATTAAACAGGCTTACTACAAATAAGAACCAGGCCCAGAGGATTCAATTATTATACAATTTAAGCAATTTAGGGTAGAAACTCAAAATTATAAATTTACATTTGCCTGTTCTTCCTCCTTATCTATGTTCAGTATTTAAAAGGTCCCTGTGAGACAAAGAAGCACTATCATGCCAATTTTCAAAATGGGAAATCAAGGTACGCTATGTTTTCACTATAAACTTACTGTGCCTGGCAGTGACACCCTCAAGTAAGCTGTTCTGCTTCACATTGGCAGCCTCCTCAACTGGAAGCTGTGTCCAGGCAACACTTAAGGCAGGCTTACTTAGCCTTAGCATCGTTGACACTCGGGGCAATGCCCACCTCTGGAACTACACGGTCACAGCTACCCTGCTTCTGGTTTGGGAGGAACTAAACAATTCAGTATGCTTGCGGGTGCTACTGCTGGGTTTGCTGTGCAGACACAACTTTAGTGACTCATCCAGTGTCTTAGCAGAAGTCAGTGACAGAGAAGAGAGTTGAGCTCAGGTCTCATAACACTCACCCCCTACCCACTACCCCCTATCTGGGGTTACTTGTCAAAACGTAACCCACACATCCATTGCCATAGTATATATTTCCTTTGCATAGTACTGACTGGGAAAGGAGGTGGGTGGAGGGAAGGAAGCACAGAAGATTACTAACCTCCTTTCATTTTGTGTTATTGTTCCATTCTCCAACTTTTTAACAGTTGATGCTAACACTTTGTTGGCATCATTGGCAAAATCCAAGTCTCTGACCTCAGACAGAGGAACTGAAACAATGGCAAAAGCTTCTTTGTCTTCTTTTGTTTGGCACGTCCCAATCTGCAATATTATTTAAGCACACTTTAATTTGGGTAAGCAATTCTCCACCTTCCACTAAGTATATCACAAGGATGTTAAATCAAATCATCAACAGAAAGTTTTAGAAATTAATTTGGTAAATTCATACACGTGCACCAATATTTACCTTCAACATTACAGGCCTCTCTTCATCTGTGTCTATAGGAATGCTAGTGCTGGTCACCCAGGTATTAGTGCATAAGTGCCTCAGTCTCACATAAGAATTCCTAGAGAAAAACCAAACAAAACAAGAAGGCTAGAGAAAGAAGGACGCACTCGTTTTGTGCCAGACATTTTTAGAGACACTAAGAAAAAGATGAATTAAGCCCCAAAGAAAACATTTTATTTAAGGAAAGGAAAAAGGAGTTATAAAATCTAGTCCAAGTAGAAAGATTTTAATGAATCTCAAACAAAATGTTTACCAAAATATAACATGTCAGAAAAGTAAAACTGACAAATATGGTTTCCTAAGCTAATGGTTAGATTTTACAAGCTCATGCTAACGTGAGTAAATATTTGCATCATCTTACAGTCCTCCACTATTAATCAAGTTCACAAAAAGCACATTCTGGACTTTTAAAAAATATCTCAGTTAAATAACTTATGATGCAGTCATAAGATACCACTAAGAAATTAATGCAATCATTTTTTCAGGGAATATTACTTCTACTGTTAAAATCAATTCCCTTTGACAAAGCCTGAACACCTTCTTTCATATTCAAAGTCTGAATATTCAGATCAGTGAACTGTGGTGGCAAAAAATGAACACAGAAAATAAACTTTAATGTTGCATCCACAGATATACTTAGGAATCAAATTTTAAAATCAACAGACATAACAATTTGCCCCAAAGTGGCTGCACCATGTGACTTACCTGGCCAACTGTAGCTAAGCAATGTTTTAAGTTTCAAATATTCACAATTAATCCCCAAATTAAAACATTCAAAAAGCTACTTTTTGATAAATTTTAACAAAAATACATCTAAAGTTATTGTGATCTGCCATGGAGACAAGCAAAAGTCATTGGATAAATTATTTACTGTGAATGATCTATCACCAGTCCCGTTTTTCCAAGCAGTGTGCTGAGCCCAACTCTGCCCTCAGTTATATCAGTGCAACATCTGGCCTATTATTTTTAATCTGACAGCCTCCCTTTAGGTCTTACTTGTTCTGTCCTTATAATTATTTTATCCAGTCATAGCTGCAGGATCATGTTTTATACATCTCTTGTTTATATATCTCTTGTTTATACATCTCTCCGCTCATGTAGGTTCCTAGCCGAGATACAGGACCACCATCTAACTCAGGGTATTTACTAAAGCATATTTGGCATAGAAAGACAGAAGATGCGTTTAGATTTTAAAAGGAATGTGTATATTCAATAGTAACACTAATACAAAATTATTTCATAAATACAAAGTGGCAGCAGCCCTGGACTTCAGGGGGGCGGATTTCAATGAAGTAAGAAGAATCGTTGGGGAAGTACTGAGGTCCCGGAGGAGTCGGGTGTCCAAGAGGAGTGGTTGTTCCTTAAGGAGACGATCCTCCATGCCCAAAGGTACGTAATCCCAACAAGGGTCAAAGGGGGCAAGAGGGCGCAAAAGCCCCCATGGCTCACCAAAAGCATACAGGAACATCTCCTAGCTAAAAGGGAGGCATACACCCAATGGAAGGGAGGGGCCATCACCAAGGAAGACTATACCTCAGGAGCCTGGGGCTGCAGGGGGCGGTCAGGAAGGCCAAGGCAGAGATGGAACTGGGACTAGCTACCCGGATTAAGGACAACAAGAAGTCCTTTTTTAATACATAGGGGGCAAAAAGAAGGTATCCGGTAATGTGGGGCCTCTGCAAGACACGCTAGGAAATCTGGTTGTCACACCAGATGACAAGGCTAACCTATTTAATGATTTCTTTGCCTCCATTTTCCTCAACAGGGACCAGTTCAGCCCGTCCGCCAGGACCCCCTCAGGCCCCAGGGGAGGCACACCCAGGCCTAGGGTCAGTGAGGATCTAGTCAGGGAACTTCTGGAGGGACTAGACGTATTTAAATCAGCTGGTCCTGATGACCTCCACCCCAGAGGGCTGAGGGAATTAGCAGAGATCATTGCGGGACACCTGGCACGGCTTTACGAGCACTCGTGGTGCTCTGGTGTGGTGCCAGAGGACTGGAAAAGGGCCAATGTGGTTCCCATTTTCAAAAAAGGGAGGAAGGAGGACCCAGGAAACTATAGGCCAGTTAGTCTTACCTCGATCCTGGGTAAGCTTTTTGAGAGAATTATCCTGGAGCATGTCCACGAGGGGCCAGCAGGGGAGGTTATGCTTAGGGGCAACCAACACGGGTTCATTAGAGGCAGGTCCTGTCAGAACAACCTGGTGGCCTTCTATGACCAGGTCACAAAA